TAGAGATATAGAAAGATCACATATATGATTAGATTTAATTGCTATCGAGTGAAGTTTTTAAATAAATTTGAAACTTTAACCAATTCGCATGATAATAATGAGTCATTTTAATTGTTGTATTAAAAATGGAATAATAATGGGGATTCTACATTTTAGCAATGTATCTCAAAAAATTGATAAACTTTTTATTTGATTTTTAGTACGTGATAAATTAGATATATATTTATTAGAAGTCATTATTGCTATTCGATTGAGGGTATTATTAAATTTAACTCGATAAAGCACACAGTTCCTGTGGGTTCGAAATTTTACACACTACTATATTATTTGATCACGATCCCGTTTATGGGCGTAGTAATACAATGTTTAATTTAATTAATATTTAAAATATAATAAAAAATATATATAAACACGCCCATAAACGGGATTTGGGAGTTCTCAGTTCCCTTTCTTCGTGTGGGGAGTCTCTCTCAACCCTTCTTAGTTTAGTGCTTGTTTGGGAGGGATTTTTGGAGGAATAATTGATTTTGAATAGTGATATGATGGGAAATGTGTGGTTGAAAAAGAAGAAAAAATTATTGATGTGATGGAAAATATTATTCTATTGAAGAATGTGTGGTTGAAAATGAGAATTGATTTACTGTAGAAAANTTTTGAATAGTGATATGATGAGAAATGTGTGGTTGAAAAAGAAAAAAATTATTGATGTGATGAAAAATATTATTTTATTGAAAAATGTGTGGTTGAAAATGAGAATTGATTTACTGTAGAATTTTGAAAATCCCTCCCAAACAGGCCTTTAGTATGACTGGATTTTCAGAAAATAAGACAAAAGTTGATTTCTTCGGCATAGGCAGTTCCACCAAAGTCGGACTTTAGGCTAGATCTTCTTTTACGAAATCTCTCCCATTGCCAATTCTATCTTAACAAACTAAGGATTCTGGTCATCTCACGAGATTGCATGGCAAGATAAAATTTAAACCACATGAAAAGCCTGCAATCACCAATATACTAAACAAATTAATTAAAATGCAAGAAACTCTAAAATTGAAAGAGATAATTGCAGTAAAATTACCCCAATGCACTACAAAACTGAAAAAATGAGGATCACATTGTTAAAAAATAAATTAGGAACCAAGTTGCAATAAAAGCCACAATTAGGGGATCAATAGTACAATTTTCTTCTTTAAATTACGGGGGACTAAAGCATTGATAATTATTAATAAGCGAACAAGATAATAAGTTATTTCTTGTCCGAGAAAAGGAAATAAAAAAAATGCTAATAATGCATTCACGTGTATGCTTACTATAATAATTGATTACGACATACAATGTATTTTTATCAGTGATTGTGATTAATAGGTGTAGACATTTTAATCAGAATCGAACCTCCCAAATTGAAATTGAAGGTTTCAATCCGGTTCCAAAAAAATAATTAGGAATCAAAATTGAGAATCGAGAACTGATCAAGTACATGTCGGTTCTTGATTCGTGAACTAAAATTGTGAGTACCCAACTTTAAAATCGAATTTGTCCTTTTTGATAATTTATTACTTAGATCCAGTGATTCGACTCAGCAAATTTGCAAGGCCTAAGTAGTAAATACCATATTTAGCCCCATGTTTGATAACCAATATTTAGAAAAAGACAGAGTTTTGAATAGTGAGTTTTAGAAAAATATGTAGTTAAAATGTAGGGAAAAAAATATAGTTTTACATACAGAATATTTTATTGTGAATATGTTGTTAAAAATAAGTACGTAGAAAAA